ATTCTTTAAAATAAAAAAAATAAAAATTAAAAATAGTTGCCACCTCCCAGATAGCTTATATTAAAGGGAAGCAACCAAATATTTGGTATTCCTTTTGATGAGGGTCAAATTTACAGTAAAATAATAGTACAGTTTAATACATCTTGTTCTAATTTGTGGCTTCACAAGACTAGAAGCTTAAAAGTGCTTTGTTTATTCTTTAATCTGGATAGGATTGTTTTGTTAACTTTGTTTTGATTTTAATGTTATCCATAATTCCAGAAATAGATCATTAGTTTTCTTTCTAGCTTTACATATAGCTTCCCCCAATCCAGCTAAGTTCAGTGTTAACTTTCCTGCTTGCAAGAGTTGTTTGGCTGACAGTACTGGGAAATAAATCTTCTTCATACTTTATAGTGCAACAGTTCTCAACTTGGATATGCCCAGTGCTTGCTTGATTACCAACTGTGTTAACAGTGTTCAGTCCCCTGATAGGAAGTTTAGAGAAGCACAGCTTACCTGCACAGAATATATTTTACATCAATAAAAGGCTGTATTATAAAAGATAAGTAAGTGAAACGTGTATTGCATTGTAGAGATGCTCAGGCATGAACACATCGGAGGAGATGATGAGGCATTCTTAGGTCCTTGTGCTAATGGGTGGATAGAGTTCAGCAGCTGCATGGGCAGCCTGGTAGATTGTGTCATATAAATGCCTGCAGTACCAAGAGCAAACTGGTGCTGGTGACAGCCTCAAAACTCTCCGCAGAGTTACAAAAAAGATGTAAAAAGCAAACTGGCTTTGATGTATTTTAATTGATAGCTCAGTTCTTGCAAAGTTTGGTATGTTTTGAAACTGCTCAAAAAATACTTAAATCAGAATTAAAATCTAGACCCAGGGAATGATAAACCTCATTGCTTGCTTGTATTGCTTTTGTGAATACACATAAGATATTCGATATTTGGTGAATTGTAAGTGAATTCTCGATCCTGTAGGACTTGATTGTATATTGAAAGATGACTGGCATTCATTTATTTTTATAGTGCTGGAGATTGAACTCAGGAGATCACACATTCTAGGCAGGTGCTGTACCACCTATCTGTAGCTGAGCCCCTTGAAGCTTTAAAGCAAACAACAATACCTCCTCAGGATAGGGGCATGACATGTTCTATGAGGACCACTACTGCGGGATGTTCCAGTAGGGTTGTTCCTCGTATGATAATTCGTGTTGTAGCAGATCCCTACACTGTATGGCTTTAATCCACACAAAGCCATAATGAGTCGTGCATTTCAAATGTCTTATCAATGACAAAATGCAGAATTCTTTAAAATTATTTTTAATAATTTGGCCTGAAGATATTTTCTGAGGGATGTACCTGTTGCCAAAAATGAAACTGATTTCCTGGGTACTTGGCTTGTTTGGATATATTATCTATAGGAATAGATTTGTGGTTTTAGACTTAGCATTTAGGTTCCAACTTGCCCTGTCCTATTCCTGTTTCTTTTAGATTTAACCTGTGTTTTGTTATATTAGTCGTGCTTGAACCTGACTTCTCCATTAGTTAAGATTCCTCTTTAGAGAAAAAGTAGGAGCCTTTAGAGATTAGATATTACAAATCTCAACATAAACTCTCCCCTGTCATATACTGATCCATGGAACTTTTAAATTTCATGTTTTGTTTATGATCCCAAATTAGCTCTTTTGGGAACCTTCAAATAGTATTTGCTTGCCTTAACGAGTAAATTCTTGTATTGTTTTGTTTTCCTTTTCCTGGTATAGAGACTAACCATTCCAAGCAGTTGCCCCAGAAGTTTTGCTGAACTGTTACATCAGTGTTGGGAAGCTGATGCCAAGGTATGTTTTTTTGTTGTTTAGAGTCATGAAATTTCACGTGTTTGTGTGGTTTTGAGTTTGTAAAACTTGGGGTAGTAAAATTCCTTGTGCCACACAGCTGGATTGCTATTCCTATGAGCCCCAGGCTGACTGTGAAAGCCCTCTGTTGGCATCTCCTTATCTCCATCTCCACAGTCTCATTATTGACTTTTTTATAGCATGCTTTGCTATTCTTCACTCACTAAAAATGATTTTGTTCTTTTGTTTTTAAACTTTACTAGTAACCACTGCACTTTTATGTTATAAAAATGGTTAACACACAGTACTTATTATATGCCAGGCACTGTTCCAAGCACTTTATGTATATTAACTCATTTATTCCTCAGAATGTCTCTTTGAAATGGGAGTTGCTATTATCTTCATCCTACAGGTGAAGAATCGAGGCACATAGAGGCTAAGTAATGAGCCAAGGCCACACAGTTAATACATGGTGGGGCTGGACGTGAACCCAGGCAGCCTGGCATGAGTCCTCGCTCTTAACCCTGTTCTGATTGCCTTTCCAGCCAAGAAGTGGGCACAAGTAGCACTGGCAGAGACTCTTGGTACATCCTTCTTGTCTAATTGCAAGGATTTTTTGAGCCATCACAGGAGAGTTGGAGAAATTCCAGAACTTAGGCTTTCACGTGGTTATCACATCTGAGCACAAATGACCCATTTCCTTTCCCAGCAAAGACCATTTTAAAAGACTTTTACACACATATGGGAATATTTACAGATAAAATGATCGGCCAGTCTTGGATGTGCGTCAAAATAAGGTGAAAGGTAATATATGACAGTATTGAGTAAACAAGATTGGCTGTGATAATCTTTGAAGCTTTTTAAAATAATTTTAATAGAGGTTCATTATATTGTTCCCTCTATTTTTATGTATGTTTAGAATTCTCCATTTAAAAAAGTTAAAGAATAAGCAAGATTCTCAACTGCGTAAAGTTTAGAATAAGAGAGCAGTTAGACCCAGGAAAGGAACAGAAACTATTACGGTCCTCTGTTGTTCAGTTTTTCATGGAAATAGAGGTATTACAACCGACCTTTGAAATACAAGCCTACAAAGAGTAAAGCTGGAACTGTTTCTTAACTAGCCCAGTTGCAGTGTGACCCCCCAAGAAGAAATAGTGATGGCAGCCCAGAGTCTGCTCTTCACCTCGTGCTGCTTTGGTGGCAAAGCTCAGAAACAGTTTGTGAACCTGGGGACTGTGTCAGCGAAACCCAGAATTCGTGTTGATTCATGCACAGAGTTTCCCAGCACGTTGTTCTGCATCAAGGGCAAAGTGCAGCTGTGCAGCCAGCAGCCATGAGGGGCCCCGTGCTGTGACCTCCTTTCACCCCTCATGCGCCTGGTCACTGAGCCTGGAACTCACGTGCTGGTTCCCCGAGCCCTGTGCGTTGTGCCTTCATCCTGCTGTTCAGTTGCCTCAATCTTCGTGTTTGCTTCTATTCTTAAATCTTCCCTACCTTTTTTCAAATCAAGTCTTATATTTATTTGGTATCATTTTTATTAAGGAATTTAACATGTTGTAAAACTACATTAGTATTTTTATTTAGGTTTGCTATTATTTTTATTAGTATTCTTTATATGAGTTTTGAATGGTTTCCCTTACTTCTGTGTAGGTCCTATTATTTTTAGTGTGTGACTTTGCAGAATGTGGGTTTTTTAAGCATTAAGAGAAATGCCTGCACTTTGTATCCAGTCCAGTTAAAGCTGTAAGCAGGTATTTGCAAGCTCACTTTAAAATACTTACACTGTTTAAAATGTATCATAGGGGCTGGGGATTTAGCTCAGTGGCACAGCGCCTGCCTAGCAAGCACGAGGTCGTGAGTTCGATTTCTGGTACCAGAAAAAAACTCAAAACAAAACAAAACAACAACAACAACCAAAAAAAAATGTATCATACTACCCTGTCCCTGCTCCTACAAACTGTTTGTCCTTTGCGACATATACCGTGATTTGGGTAGTATTCATCTTCGTCATACCTAAATAGAAATTTTATTTGAAATTACATTAATACAACTATATCTCTATAACTATAATTACATTTCTATCTGCAAAGCAGATTTTTAATTTTTTACTTGGGCACTCAGTACTACATTCATTAACATTCTAAAAATGTATATCATGGCACGTTGATTAAGTGATAGTATAAACACCTCACACACCAAAGGGATATTTGGTTCATTGTAGAAGTGACAAGTTTGTCAGGCATTCACCATGTAGACAGCTGACCCTTCTTTATGACCAAAATAATTTTGTGTTTCTACCATGTGAAGTATAAAGAAGGTTTAAAATTAATTTTTGTTTCCTAAAGTCATGAAATTTTTCTCTGATAAAACTGCTCCATGCCCCCTATATTTGATTTGATTTTTACAGCAGGCTGCAGCGCACATTTCCAACCTTCTTCTTGCTAATCTGCAGACACACCTTACACTCTCCTTCCTTCCCTGACTGCTGTTACTGCTTTTGTGTCCTGTGCTTCTCCCTGAACACTTCATCTTTGGGCCTTCCCTGTTACGCCGCCAGTCTCAGCCTGGCCTTCGGTCTCTTTTCCAAACCAGTCTGGCCTGCTGCCCTCTTTTGTATTGCAGTGTTGTGTTTTGTTTTGTTTTGTTTTGTTTTAATACCTTTTTCTTTCTAAATGGGTTGCAAGCTCTACAAGGCCATAAAGCTAGTTCCTATGTGTGTGTTTCCCTGTAAGATCTTTTATCAGTTTACTAAGTAATGCCCCATTTGTTGTTGCCCGAAGAAGCGAAACCATAACAAATTTTCTGAGGGACCATTTTGTTTTTTGGCAAGAAATACAGCAATTCAACCAGAAGCTGAAACCAGTCCTGTGCACATTTGCAGAGCAATAGTTGGTTAAAGTATTTTACCTCTTTTTTAATCCTTAGACTTTTGAATATTAATAACACCTAGATTAAAATATCTTGTCTACCTTTAGGATTGGGGTTCTTTTGCAGTGAGAAGGGGGAGATGTATATGAGAGAAAGCTGGTGTTAGGTGAGTATCAGGTCACTCTAGCAGCTTACACCTGGTGCTCAAAATATTTTACCAAAGAAAGGAAGGAAGAAAGGAAAAAAGAGTATTGTTTTAAGTCTTACTATGAAATTTCTAAATAAGGAAGCAGTAGCTACAGCCAAGAGGAAGTAACATCTTACTCTTCTGATAAAAGATGGGAAGAGTTTTAAGAGCAGAGCCCTTATTTCTGTAAGTTGCTTCCTGTGTGATGCTGGGCATTTTATACTTTACTGAGACTAGTTCTCCTTATTTATAAAGTGGAGAGAACAAATAGAGAAATAATAGCGATGCTTAATAAATCCTACTTGTATTTTTTAAAATAAGCAAGTTTACATAATACCTAAAGCATAATACCTAAGCCCCCCAGAAGAATGTCCATCAGATCTTAGACCAAATATATTATATAACCAGAGTGCTCGAAAAATATTGTTTGTTTGGGTTTTTTTTTTGCATTGATTGATTGATTGATTGATAGGGTATCTTGCTGTGTTGCTCAGGCTGGTGACAAACTCCTGGGCTCAAGTGAGCCTCCTGTCTCAGCCTCCCAAATAGCTGGGATTACAGATATACACCACCACACCCAGCTGATTACTGCTTTTTAAATGTTCACATTCATCGTTTCTATCTGAAAGTAGATTCTAACTATTCAATTAAGATTTTTTTCTGGGGATACTTATCATCCAATTACAAAAGAGTTTCACCTTGTTTCAAGAATAAATGCAGGCAAAAATATTATTCTTTAAAAATTCATTAGCTCTTTCTGATGTTTTGCCTTGCAAAATGAAAGTCCCATATTTATTATATAATTAGTTCCTGTGCAGACAAGTAAAACATTCTTTCTTTTAAAACCTGGCATATGGTGGGGAAATTAAGATGGAAAGAAAGTTAAAGAAGACAGAGTATTTTTAAAGTTTCCTACAGAAGCCATCTTCCTCTTTATTAGATAATTTAATGTATACCAGTAACATTTAGCTACTTATGCCTTCTTAAGGAGAACACACACACACACACACACACACACACACACATGCACGCACACGCACGCACGCACGCACATCCTTAAGAACAATAACAAGAACTCAATAAATATCCTAGTTTTATATTTCTGAAAAATGGAAAAATTGCTTTTCTTAGTAATATAGGAAACACGTAAGTCCTGAGAGCAAGCCACTACTTCAGCATTGTTCCTTCTTGTTTTTATGCTCCTAAATTAAAATGCATGTTTTAATTGCTGTGACTGTAATTTGTTCAGAAACGCTATAATTATGAGGCATGCTGAAGAGAGAAGGTGCATCACCCTTTTATTATCTTTCTCCATTTTTGTTTTAACCTTTTGTCTCAACCTTGGCTAGAATCTGAAAAGAAAGACTAGTATACTTCTTGCTTGCCGACGAAATATGCTTACCCACTGCATTTTCCATTTGTATTGAAGAATATCTTACAGTATCCCAGCACTAAACCCAGTTCTAGTGTGGAGTAAATGCTGAGCACAATGAAGTTATGATAGCTTTAAAATTTGTTTTCTTTGCAGCCCAACTGATTTGGAAAATTTTATTACTTCCAATAGATTGATAGATATGTTTTCTTCCAGAATTTTATATAAAATTTTTCAGACTTACATAAAAATTGGAAGAATTTTACAGGGAATACTAATATGTCCACTGTGCAGACTTTACCAGTAACTTTTTAATACCTTCCTCACATAGATTTTTAAGTGAGCTTTTCCTTTTGGGAGTCCTTAATCACACTGCACAGAGAGAATCAGTGTACTCTTTACCTAGAGAAAAATATTAGTTATTCCCATCATTAGGCCACATGATAGAAAACCGACATCTGAATCTATTCTTAGGAGTAAAAGTTGACTGAAAATGTATACCTACTTCCCTAATACAGAGTGATTTGACAGGTGTGAAGTAGCGACATCAGACCATTGTATCATGCTTAATTTTGTCTTGGTTGGGTGAGCTTATTAGTGGGCTGTGGATGTCGACATTTTTCTTTTCTTTCTTAAGGATCCACAAGTGATTATGTTTCTTCTCTTCTTCAGAAACGGCCATCATTCAAGCAGATCATTTCAATTCTAGAGTCCATGTCAAATGATGCAAGTCTTCCCGGCCAGTGTAACTCATTCCTGCACAATAAGGCGGAGTGGAGGTGGGTGAGCCCTGGCGCCGCAGTCCTGGCCCCAGCTTCGAAGTCTGTCACTGGCCTCAAAGGCAGAGAACCCAAGGCCTTGATGACAGTCCTGATTCCTAAGCCCAGGACAGAAAAAAAAAAATTAAGATTTTGAATATCTAATAAGTCTTCCCTTTCATATGTAAGCAAGAAAGAGTGTTTCTCTAAGTTTGTTAGCTTAGGTAGTGTCTGAGTGTTTGGAAAAAAGGTTGAAATTGTATCTTCTGCGACAAAAGATCACCAGACATTTCTTTGGCCCCTGTCCAGCAAGAGATAAAAATACTCTTTAGCCTTGATATATGCAGAGCACTGAATCTACTAGTGCAAAAGGGTAGGAAGACCATAAAAAAGTTATAAGAGAAAACTTTGGATGTTATAAATCCTATTAAAATTTGTTAAGTGTAATACCTAGTAATGAGAGAATTCTATGAGTGGAAAAAGTAAGCGCAGGATGAAACACTTAAGCCGGGTCACGTGATACAGGAATATAAATAGCATGTTTGGGAGCTGACACTGTCCCTCCCCTGACTCAGCGGAGATTTTCAGTAATTTCATCTCTGCTCCTGGTCGCCTTGGCCGTAACAGAACGCCTTACGCCACCTGCTGATGCCACGTGAACACTGCACATACTTTGAAAGTTGTGGGATGTTTCTTTGGGCTTTCTGTTTAATTGGTGTTTTACAATAGCCTAATGTGTTCTTATTCCACTAGAATAACTGCCTACAGCCAGTGAGTTTACTGAATTTTTATTTAGGGATACAAGATGAATTCAGTGAGCTCAAGTCTAGGCATGAGAGTTTTGTCTGAGCTGAAATAATTAACGAAGCAGGGAAGCAATACTGTTCCTACAGTTGCGGTTAGCATACATCTGATGAGACCACTGCCCTTTAAAATCTATATGTGTGTTCCCATGGCTCTTAAGACAAAGACCAAGTACTTAAGAAGACTCAAAAAACTTCTGGATTCTGGCCTCACCAGCCTCACCTTAAGAGCATCATTCTACTGTCCTGTGTCTGGCCTTTGGTCCCTCAGCAGAGGCATGGTTCTCCCTTGCTCGGTCTCCTCTGCCCTAAGCCGTCCTGTCTCAGCCAGGCACCGTCCTGACCCCACCCGAGCTTTTCCGGTCCATTCTGGTGTCTGAGCTAATACATCCACAAGGGACTGTCCACTGGCTTCAGGCCAGGTTCATGCACCTGTGTCCTCTGCACTTCAGTTTTTGTATCTCACTGACCCAAATGTAGGAGGGGCAGACAGTCTCTTCTGTCCATCACCGTCCCCACTGCAGCTTGGGCATGCCTTGCACACACCTGAATATGGGGAGGAATGAAGAAAATACCGCAGTGGTGATAATGTAAAAGACACAGTGCTCCTGTGTGAGAGAAGAGAAACATGTGAGTTGACTTGTTTGTGGCAACAGACATGCTTCCTGTGCTTTCATGCATAGATTTCTCGAACTTTTGCTAGTGCAGGAGAAGCTGGTACTGTGCTGAACATGGAGCGGTAGCCTTGAGCCCAGCTATCGCAGAGTACACGGCGCCCTCCAGCATGAGTGTTCAATGTTAAGCCGCTAAATATAATTCCACAAATAACTAATTACTGTTTTGACAAGCATTATGACAGAGAAGTACTGGGTATCTGAGAGTATTAACTGTGAAATCTGATCTAGTCAGAGGATAGAATGAAAGGATTCCCCAAGGAAATGCTATTTGATCTGTTATCCAAAGGATTAGTGGATTTTAACATGAGTATTAATACCCTTGAGATAGCAACACAATCAGAAAACAAAGAGAAGTTGGTAAGTTTTATGTATAAAGCTTTAAAGCCTTCATATGGCTGAAAGCAATACCCATGATGAATAAATTTCCAAGAGAAATGACATGCTGTTTCCATCTCTCAAGTGTTTTTGTCTCAGGACTCTATTACAGTCATAAAAATTATTGAAGAACCCAAAGAACTTTTGTTTAAATGAGTTATATCTGTCAGTATTTATCACAATAGAAAAATAGACCTAATAAAAATAGAACTGAAGCCAGGCACAGTGGTACATGACTGTAATCCCAGCTACTTGGGAGGCTGATGCAAGATGGAAAGTTCAAGGCCAGCCTGGGTAACTTAGACTCTGTCTCAGAAAATGGCTACACATGCTTGAGACCCTAGCTAGCGTGCTTCAGACCCTGGGTTCAATCCCCAGTGCTGGGAGAAAAAAATGAGAAAAAAATTTAAATGTGCATTTAATGATTCATTTAAAAATCAATAATAAGCCAGGTGTGGCGGCTCAAGCCTGTAATCCCAGCACTTGGGAGGCCGAGGCAGGAGGATTGCCATGAGTTCAAGGTAGCCTGAACTACATAGCCAGACCCTGTTTCAAAAAAACAAACAACAAAAAATCAATAAGATATCCTGTTTCTGGCATTCAGCCTGTGCCTGTCATGTCATGAAGCCTCTGGAAAGAATGGGAATATAAAAGGAAATTCTGTCTTACTGGTATTCTGAAAACCAATTTGACCTCAAGAATTCTCTGAAAACATTTCATGAGTCTCCAGTCCACACACTGAAAACCACTCTTGATAGAGTAACTGTCTTTAAATTACATTTTAATTAAAATATCATACTAAGGACTTGAAGAGGCATTTCATAAAAAGAGATGTGAAATGGTTAATAAACACTAAACAATTCAACCTCACTTAGTAATCAGACAAATACGTGGGAATAGAATGTTTTATCAGATGGGCAAATTTTACATTATGAAAAATATCCTGTGTTATAGGCTTTCCAGCACATTGCTAGTAGGAAAATACGGCTTTCTGAAAGTTAGATGCCCTAAAAGTGTTCATATGATTTGTCCCAGAAATCCCACCACTACCATTTTATTCCTAAGCAAATAAACAGAAAGGCTGTGTGAGAAATGTGTGGGCGTCTGTCCAGCCGAGCTTCATTTGAATTGTACAACTCAAAATGGTATAAAGTACAAGAGGAATGGTTTTAAAAATGACAATGTATCTGTACACAGAATAGTGTAGAAAAAATTCATGATTACACAGATCTGCTAAATGACTTTTAGATAGAAGTCTATAGTCTAATTTGTTTAGAATGATTCCATTTCTGTCAAATAAATGCATATTCATGTGTATATGTCTATGGATATAGGGGAAAATATAAAAAAGTCAGTTTTACCACTGAGTAATGGGATTATTGAAGAATATTTTTATTTGTATTCATTAAACCTAGATTAGTTGAATGACAGATTTAATTTTTAAAATACTTCAAGGTGAAAGCCAGGTTTGTTGGTACACACCTGTAATCTCAGCTACTCAGGAGGCTGAGGCAGGAGGATCACAAGTTTGAGCCCAGCCTGTACAATACAACCAGACCCCATGTCAATCCAAACCAAACAAAAATACTTCAAGGTGGGAAATAAGGGGTATAAAATCAGTAATAGAGTATGAGGGGAGAAAGAGGCGAATCCTTCATATATTTTAGTGGAAGCCTAAGGACCCCTTCGTGAGCTGTTAACCCTGCTCAAGAGCTGCAGGGAGAATGTATACACTTACCCAAGCCAGAGAACCACAGTTTGGAAGCAGCAGAGCAGCTGTAAACAAACTTGGCAATTGGTTAAAAACATGGGGAGTAGCATCAAGTACAGTTTAAAAAAATAAACACAATTATTGTTTATTAGGCTCCTACCGGATCCTTGTACTTCATTTAGATCATTTTTAAAAATCTCCATGGCAACCTTGTCTCACACATGTAAAACTGAGGCCTAGGTGGTTGGTCGCTTGCCTGAGATCATCCTATACTGGAAGGAGCCTGTAATGCAGTCTGGTGGCCAGACACACATACAGATGTGCTATGTAGTCATGTCATCCACGTGTAAACATGCAGCATTCACTTAACTAGACTTATTTTTACCTATGAGACATTTTGCAGGGCATAATCATTTTAGGGTATTCTTCAGGCAAAAAGACTGTCTTACGTGATATGCCAAGTGTTGAAAAGAATGATGTGTTTTTATCAGATCATCTGGATATTTCAAATGATGACACATTCAGACTTCTCCCTGCTTTCTGCCACTTTTGTCTGGTGCCTAAACCCATGTGACCAGGATCCAAAGAATATTTTTGCAAACAAGAGTCACAGTGAAGTCTGATTCCAATCCTGCTGTGGTGTTTTTGGCAGATGATTGTTTTCTGAAAGAGCTTCCTCTACACATAGACCAGATGGAATATCTATTTTTAGAAAATTAAATGATTCTGAAAATTCTCTTAAAACTAGATTACTAAAAACCACATAAACTGTGTTCTTCCCTTTGACCTACTAAGTGATAGGAAAGAAATTTAGTATCTGACATTTCCCTATTGATCGGAACCTCAGCTTGATTCTCTCTGTTGACTTGCAAGCATTAGGAACAGAACCATGTCCTCCTGTTGGTCCTGATTTTGGTTGTCATTCGCCAGTGTGATTGTCTCCAAATCTGTGGCAATCTGCACTGAACTACGAGGTGTTGTGATGGAGGTTCAGAGTTGTGTCTCTTGGCAAAATACTTTGTTGGTTGTGCTTTTTCCTTGGTGACCAAAGTACTCTCACCATGACATGCCTTCTTGAAAATAAAAATGGTGAGCAAAAAAATGGAGTCTCTCCAATTTGGATTTTAGCACCAATGATTTAATACAAGCACAGACTTTGGTATACTTATATTTCATACAACATATATACACAGTACTATATTGCTGTTGTTGCACATTGACTTTTTATTTCAAAGTAAATATCTGTTTAAGGAAAGAAGATAATTACAGTTTGTTGCTGGTTTTTAGCATAGGGAAAGTTGATACTAGTTGAAATCAACCTCAGTTGGATTTGTTTTAAGAGTTAACCAAAATTTTCATCAACTACAACATTTAAACTGTATTTTTAGAACAGAAAGTTTCCATAAATGCATCAGTAAATGCAGTTGATGTAGAACCATGCTCCAGCAAAAGCAAAGGGAATGGCAAGGGGAGCAGCCTCTGCGTGTCCTCGGGTTGGGTTCCATCCCTAACGGCATAGAGCTCAGGTTCTGGGGTGCAGGTTGGAGGGGCAGTGCTGGGAGCTGGGCTAGGGGGAGACAGAGTGAGGAAGCCTTCTTGGTCAGTGTTTGTTTCCGTGCCACAGCTTTCGGCTTACTTATAACCATTGATCTGCTTCCCAGAAGGGCTCAGAATCACAGAAGGCTCCCAGAGCTGGAACTTGAGATGAGTCCTTGGGTTCAGTTACAAGTGAAACAGAATGTGATTAGAAAGGACATCAGTGAGATCAGTCTCGCTGGCAGGACCATTGGGACTGGCTTGGCTGAGTGCCCCATAGACCGACGGTCCAGGCCCCTGCCGGCTCATCTTACCAAGCATGCCCAGCTGCACAGCCTGCTTGCTGCCCTCTGGCCCTCACTGACCGGAGATGGGGTGCCCTTCTTTTGTTAGAACAGTTTACCTGAAGGTATATCATATCGGTCCCCCCAATCTTCCCGTTTGTAGATGGATATAATGTTTTTGTCAGAGATAAATTAAATGATAGTATCAGAAATAAATAATTTTTTCAAAAATAAATTTAGACTTTATGATAACAGTCATAATTCAGAAAGATGACTGCTTTAATGCCTTGGTTTTTAGAGATTTGATTCTTTCCTTTTATGCTTGTTCACGTGGCACTAGTGAAAGGGACAGTGTTGATTTTGTGGGTGGCACATCAGGACATTTTATGCTTACTTTTGCCTCCCTTTCTCTAAGGAACTCCTCAGACAAGTAGGGAAGTGCAGACTTGGGCCCAAATCCATTCCCATCTCTGTAGATGTTCCCTGAGTTGGGCTTTGCCAGTTAATACTTAGAACCTTCTTGTTTTCCTTCATTTAGTTCTCATCTGTGAGAGCATTAGAATAAGCCACCCACTTATTCTGATTTTCCCTGGACATAAAAAGGCACATATATTCATTAACTTAAATTTGGGAACTTCTCTCTTCCACACTGAAAATCCCAACCTCGGCAATGCAGCCCATAATGCAGGTTTGTCTCAATGGCACCCAGAAGCCAAATCAGGTCACCAGTTCCTGCCTCTTCTTTTTCTTTTCCTGTGTAACTTTCTGGCCTTTCCTTCTCTCTCCCTTAGTCCCTACCTGCTACCTTCCTCTCATTACTGTGGCTTACTTACACACTCTTAAGAAACTCAACTTCCAGTTCTCAGAGCATAAGTTTAGACATTAACATCATAGCAACCCTGAAGGAGAAAAAGTTTATACTAAACCACTTTCCCTGTGCCAGTTTCTGTGAAGGACAGGTTTCTGCCACTGGGCATATTATTCCAAGTGTGAAGCTGATTACCCAGAGAGATGAAGGAGGGAACTTCCTTTAAAAATTATTAGAGCTCCTTAGAGTTCCTCTAGCCAGCAGTGTCCTACACTTGACCATCTGTAAAAGCTACCTGGCTCAATCATTAAATAATGGAAATTCCTTGCCCCACCCATCCTACTGAACCGTGATTCCAAGGAAGGCTTTTAGGAGTAGTGTGTTGTTCTCAACAAGCTACCCAGGTAATTAGGATCAGGCAAGTTGTGCACCTCTGACATAATGCAAGCTCCATCCCTTATGGTGGGAACCAAGGGAACTGGGATTAATCAGTTGATTTCTTGGTTGACTTGGCCACTAAGTAGGCTAAAGTGCTATCTCAGTCACCTGCTGATGATATATTGATCACCTAACCTGAATGTCATGTTCCCACCCACAATTGAAAATTATCTGGTTTTGGGGGTCTCTGTGGAAATAAGATGAGAGACTACATAATAGTGCTTTGTAAACTGTGAAGAGCCAAGTGAACATAAGCATGTGCCAAAGAGCCAACCCAGGATACCAGCTCAATAATTGTGCTTCTCTCCAGTTTCCCTTCAGCCATGCTTTGTTAAAGTACTTCGAGCTTGTTCCAAACTAGAAACTACCTCTGGCTTTTTAAGAATGTGAAAGATCCCTGCTGGCCATTTCCTGGTCAGTTTCAAAGCCTACCTGTGCTAACTAGACCTTTACTCTGACTAGCTTTTGGATGGACCCATTGAGCGTCCACCATTGCTTCAGTAGACTTGAAACTTACCCAGTTATCCCTGCACAGGTGCGAAATTGAGGCAACCCTTGAGCGGCTAAAGAAGCTAGAGCGTGATCTCAGCTTTAAAGAGCAGGAGCTCAAAGAACGGGAAAGACGGCTTAAGATGTGGGAGCAGAAGTTGACAGAACAGTCCAACACCCCGGTGAGTATCATCCCGCGCGGGCTTCCCAGCGCTGCGCTTAGAGCAGTGGCTGAGCATGGCAGCCAGGCACCCCTTCTCCCTGCCTTGCACCTGCATTTGTAGCAAGTAGTATAAATGACCAAAGTGCCAGAAGTGTAGCAGAAAAAACCTATCCTACTTCGGGCTTTTTCCTTAAGAACTCTCATTCTCTCGGTGTGTTTGTATATTAGGATTACAGAAAGAAAATCCCATGCATTTTCATACCATCTGTTAGGGTCCCAGAAGATGTGCCTAAGCACTGATTAACTTTTTAGTTCATGAGTAATTAATAACTATAACACCAAGGCAGTCCTTGATGTGTAAGAACTTACCATGTTTTCCTTCTAATACAGACCCATCCAGATGACATATAAAAGACAAGCCTTACTATTTCTTGCTCGATTTGGTGTTACGGTAATGGGTAGCAAAAGACAAGGAAAAGATTTCTCTTCGAACAAGTTTCCAGTGTTCTAGGAAGGCTTCCTTTTTTCCCAAGTCTTGTAGTTAGAGGAACATAAAAATTCTTTTTAAGGGTTTTGCTATTTATCCACTAACCTAGAGTTTACACGCTGACATGATATGCTAAAATTGAGTCCAATTTCAGCATTCTTCCTATTTTAAAAGACTTATTTCCAGAAATCAAATCTAAATTTATCATTGATTTTTTTCCAAGGTTTTTCATGGGCAATACTTGTACCTTAAAATCACAACTAATGGTAGCTTAAAAATAAACTTATTATACATGTTAAATTAATTTTTATAGTTGCTATGACAATTATACCAAAGGAAGAAACCCTTAATTTTGGGACCTCCAAAGAACTTTCTGTAAAAGTCATTCTCTATTACGTGGCTAATGCCCATTTGCAAAGTATTTTCTAGTGTCTAAAGAATAAAATAGTTTGTGTCTCTACCTTGTTTGGGGAAGCAACTTGATATCAAAAAAGAGAGAGAAAACAATGAAGTTAAATGTTCATTATCAGATTGAATGCTTTCTAAAATGACTTTGGTTATCCAGGCAATCCCAAAATCAGAATTTAGTTGCCAGGACTGTCGTAGGACATTCTGTAAATTCTGTGAAGCAAGGTGGGCTCTCGAGAGGGTAGTGCAGTTTCCTGTGCAGGTTGAATCAGTGCCAGCAGGCTGACTGAGAGAGCAGTTCTGGGTCTGCATGGGAGCCCTGCAGAAGCACATTTGGCCCTGTCCTGATAGCTTGTCACTTGGAAGTTTCTTGCTTTGTTTTTTAAATGCATTGAAATCTTATGCTATAAAGCACTGCATGGCTTGACTCTAAATGTAGTATTATAAGAAAAAACTTTAAACCACCTATTAGAGTATGCTTTAGAACCTTTCTTTGGTTTATTGTCATCAGTTCTGCTAAGAAATTATGGGCTGCCTTGCACACATTTTTGCTATTCATTGGTAACATAGTTGTATAATAAATAATAAAACGCTGTGAGTGCTCAGTAGGTTGTATGCTTGCGTTTTAACTCCAGAAAACTTTGTGTAAAGGACTGCTCTGAGGGCTGCAGCTAACAATGGGCAGCATGAAGCACGGGCTCAGGGAGATTTTCTTCCCTTTTTTACTTGTAGGGTTTAAGTTTTCTTTTTTTTATAGCACTTGCTTTTAATGTCTCCTCTGCCCAGAGCTGGTATTTCTGAAGGAAAGAAAGTTTATGCTCAGGTATTTTATAAGTAGGTGTTTTCTTTTATCCTCACTTCAATTCCTAGCTGGCTTCAAATGAGATTACTGAAAGATAAAAATGAATCTTTTAAAAAGAAAGTGGCTGGAGGCTTAGATTTTCTGTATGTTGCCCTATCTTAATTATGTAAGTTTAACATTTATGTAACTTCTTAAAAATTATGGTTTCGAATTGATTTCAAAGATATTTTCCTTTCTTAAAACTGTTAAAAATATTTGAAAGATGAGTTCTCCACACATAAATAGGAATAATGTTTATTTTTTAGTTATCGTAGCTTGCTATAAAAATTTTAGGGATAGTTTAGTATGTAGCATAACGGGAGGAAGGACCTCTGAAATAAATAAGCAACCATAGAAAATTAAGCCCAGAAAGTTGGCTGCAAGGAAATATGGTCCTGTTCCCAATATTTAAGGATCAAAACCAGTATTTTTTTTTGTTCTACTTACCTGGTACTTCTTAGCTGAATTACATGAAGTTGTTGCTGTGCTAACAACTTCAGAAGTCTTTTCCCGATAGAAGGAGTTGTTGAAAAAAGAATTCAGCTCCAACTTCAGTTTAAAAATCAGGAAATTGGTACTAAATGTTAGGTAGCTTTATGCCCAGAATGTAAAGGCTATTCCATTACATTATCATAAATTCACCCATAGTGAACCACGTCAAAAATACACCTTAAATTGCTTATTTCTCAAAATAAGAAACACTAACATTTTTCATATCCTAACAGTTTTACCCCTGAAATGAATGTAACCAAATATTCATGAAACTAGGTTGACTGATCAAAATAATTACATAAAATAAGAAAGTAAATATTTGTTACCACAGTGAGAAAGAGAGCTCTTAAGGAAAAGTTCTATAAAAACAAGGAAACCTGAGTACTGGGATAAAGGTGGCAATCTCAATTAATACTTTCCCTCAATTTTCACATGTGTTTACATATTTAAGTATAAAAGAGACAATTTAAAATTCTCAAGTGAATTACTTTATGATTTAAATAAAAGTTATTATATCAGATCTGGCTATAATAAATAATAAATGGAAGCAAGTGAAATTCTAGACTGGTTTTTGGTGTATATTCTGAATACTAGTCTAGTTTTAAAATGTAATTTACCACCCAAATTTCTTCAGAACTGTATTGACACCTGAACTGTTTCAATGCTTCCTCTGGGCTTTTCTTCTTGGTACAGGCATTTCTTAATTTTTACTTGAGATTTAATCTCTGCTTCATTTCTTCTTCCTTTAAAAAAGTATAGTAGTTAACTAAATATTTCTGTGTGAAAGTGAAATTGGGGAAAATTAAGAGAAATTCTGAAAATGATTTTAAGCTTAAAACTTGCACCTTTAAAAAAAAAACTTGCACCTTCTTGTCCATTTGGAATTTGGCTTGCTATCGTGCTTTGCAGACTTTTGGATAAGATTTGTTCTGTCATTCATAAATTATGGCAAATACACTAGAGCTAAATCTGCCATTAAATAAGTTCTCGCACGTAATTCCCTATGTTCATGTATTTCACTAATCACTTACCTCCTGTGCAGTGCCAACTAATTTTGTGGTACCTATTCCCCTTATTTAAATTGGTCCTAATTTCTCTTTTTACTTCTGTCCTTTCTTTCCCTTTGATAGCTTCTCTTGCCTCTTGCTGCAAGAATGTCTGAGGAGTCTTACTTTGAATCTAAAACAGAGGAATCAAACAGTGCAGAGATGTCATGTCAGATCACAGCAGCAAGTAACGGGGAGGGACATGGCATGAACCCAGGTCTGCAGGCCATGATGCTGATGGGCTTTGGGGATATCTTCTCAATGAACAAAGCAGGAGCGGTGCTGCATTCTGGGATGCAGATAAACATGCAAGCCAAGCAGAATTCTTCCAAAACCACATCTAAGAGAAGGGGAAAGAAAGTCAACATGGCCCTGGGGTTCAGTGATTTTGACTTATCAGAAGGTGATGATGATGATGATGATGGTGAGGAGGAGAATGACATGGATAATAATAGTGAATGAAAGGAAAAAGCAAACTAATAAAATTGGAAATATTCAGAAAAAATAAAAGAAACTTGTTATCTCAGTCTGTACAAAAAACAGTTAAGGAGGCAGAAAACCAAGCACTGCATTTTTAGGTCAATTATATTTACAGGAGAGTAATTTACTTTTGACTTATTTTTGCTCACAGAAAAGTGGGGCAGTGTGATTAACCAAAGGTATATTTATGAATCAGCAGATGTGGTGCCTGATTATAGAAATTTCTGATTCTATATACAATATAGTAGTTTAATGATATTCTGGGTTTTTATTCTTAATGGATATTTTATAATTTGATTTGACTTTATTTTATTACCTTTATTCAGCTGGTTAAGAAAATTTACATTTTGAACAAGCACCTTTCACTCCTAATTCTTCTTTGACACTTGATTCTTCTGTAATATACTGTGTTTTTTCTCAAGACAATACATTGTAATGTCAGAAATGATTGATAGTGACTACAAAATCCAACCGTAGGAAAATGAGATAAAAGGTTATAACAAAGTGCTTCTTCAGAAATAACCTAAATGCCAGAATTTTTCCATACCAAGTAACACAGCTACTCAAAGTAAAACCCAGGAGGTGTCCTCAGTTGTACGTTTGAAAGGAGGAAGACTAATTTGAAGCCAACGGCAGAAGCCGCCTGCTTGCATACCAGTGCTGGCCCTGGAAGCTTCTTAATAACACCACACTGTCACCCAAGGCTTAGCTTGTACTTTACACACAGAGAGACGCGGTCTCTGCAGGTCCAGTAAGGGCATGCTCCGTGCTTGTTTGTTTCTTTGTTTTCCAGAAAGGCATAATGACCCTGGATTCTAAATGTAGGTATACATATCTTAAGGAGAAAATTAAATATTGTAAAGAGAAGAGGAAAGATACATCATCCTTACCTATGCGAAAGCTCATTCTGAAGAGTCCTTTCTGTATCAGATCTAGCTTTCCAGAATTGTCTTTTTTTTAACCCTGCTTGGTGATGCTGGTGTTTTAGAAAAATAGGTACAGGTGCTTCTTTGCAGCCCCGGCTACCCAGAATATTCTCCAAATGTTATCACATGTTTATCAAAGCTTGTTTAAACTACAACACATGATTTTTAAAATGGCAATTAGTTAAAAAGGCAAAAGAACAAAGACTTTTTCAGTCTGAACTGGAAAGCAGTGTCATTTTGCCTCAAACTAAGATACTTTTGGTGGTTCTTTATATGGAAGTTTTAGGAAAGAATATTATCACAAATGTTTCTAATACTGTCTTTGAGTATATTTTATCA